AAAAAGCATGTCTACTTTGTAATGTAAAGCTTCAGATTATTGAAATTAGTGAAATCTTATTATGCTAGGTTGAACTGTCATATTCTTACTTTTGCCGTTGGTCACATCATGAGCATCTAAAGAAAATCCCCAAGAATTTCAGTTCATTTCATAGGAACAGTTGAAAGTGAAATTTCAAGGGAACCATTTGGAGGATGAATCTGTATTCATAGACAAATAAAACTAGAACTTTTTTAGGAGACCAGATGCAGTTTTATAAGTAACAGTCTGGATATTAACGTAATAGACTACATATCTATCAATAAATTGAATCATTTCCTGTTAGTTACTCTTGGTGGTCTATATTGATGCTTTAAGGTTTATCATTTAAAGGGAATTGATGCATATCAGCTCTGAATTGAAAACAATGTGCATAGAATTTGTATATCTAAGAGTCTGCTCTTTGAGCTGTAGAAATAAGGAAACAAATATCAATACATTTTCAACTCACAAAGTAAACAAACTACTCAAAACATTAAATCTAAAACGTAATAATAATATTGACATTCTTCAGTTCTAATGTAGCATGGTTTCATTGTAGTTTCTCTTTTCTTGATGCTATGAGAATGCTATTGATTCCGTACTCTAGAAGCTCTTGATTCTATACACACCTATATGTCAAAAGCTTCAAAATAAAATGGGAAACAATTAACCAACCCACATCAGGGTTCAGGAAGCAGAGTATAATTACCATCTTGGGAGGCATAAGCATCTTTCTCTTGGTGTTGTTATCCTTTCTATTTCCTCTGCAACTATGAAGTCTCTTTCCTCTGTTAAGACCTGTTATGTATGGGGTCTGATCCTTTATGAACTGTTCTTTTGCTCGATTGATATGGATCAAGTTTCTTCTGTGTAGGCATTGGCTTCATGTGCATGTTAAGGCCTGTTGCAACTTCTTGCTCTAACATTCGTGAATTCTTCATCGTCACCCTAACATCTTCTCCACTCAACCTCAGAAAATGATCTATATCTCTTATGGCAGAAACTCCCTCTTGGTGAACTGCTAATAATCCTATAAAGATGAGAAGCATAAATGCATGACGTGTAGTAAAATACATGGTTTTTGTAGATTCTAAGAGGAAAAGGAAGGAGGAACTTGCTTGCCTTAGAGCAAGGAAATTCTAAAGCAGTTTCTGTGATTCTAAGGCAGTGTTTCTTTGATCCGTAGCTGTAGATATAAGCTCCGTGACTTATAAGATTTGGTGGGGCAATGAAAAGTTTAAACCAGGGAGGGATGGAATCCCTAGGTTGGGTTTTAGATTCACCCAATGATTCCACTACTCTAAATTAAGAGTTAGAGAATCTGACTAGGATAATAAAGGCCTTTGGAACACCATCCTTGAGAAGCTAAGCATTTTTTTTCACTTGCTTTCCCTGCATCTCTATCATTTGCTCTGCTTTTGTCTTCTGAGCAAATACCACTTTAATGTCTTTGACTGCCAGCTAAGCTGCCACGCCACAAATCTTATGTGACTAATGTTATGGAATGTGGCAACTTATATACAGTTATGAGATTGTAATTTAGTAATTTCATTGTGATGAACATAAATTTACAATTTTTTTGGAACATGATATACAGTTACAATGAACATCGTATTTAGAGGTATACAGTATATACTAAGCATAGCAAGCCAGGTTGCTGGATGCATGGTTAGAATATATGAAATGCAAATGTGATATTATATTTTGAAAGCCTTGATTACAGGGTTTCTTAGTTGTTAAGAAAGGAAAGGAAAGAAGAGGCTGGGAGCTAAACTGCCAAGACTGGTACTGGGTAAGCAGTCATAAAAGCAAAATGTGATGAAAAAGGAATAGGGGAATATAAAATCCCCACCTAAAAAATCCAAACACTTGCTTTATACCTCCAAGAAATCATACTTTAGGATTCCAAGCTCTCTTCTCAATACAACAAAATAGCATTCCTGAGTTCTTGTGCTAAATGTGTTTCTTTATGCTTTTCCTTCTTTGCTCTTTAATATTGATAAATCATATGCTAGTTTTTTTGAAAACATAAATCATATGCTAGTTGGAACATACTAAAGTAAGTGCTTCTGATTCTTTATTCAAACTATGTTATGAGATTGCTCTTTAATATTTATTCTTTATATATATATATATATATATATATATATATATATATATATATATATATATAATCACCATGATCCCCGTGTATCAAGTAGTCACATTTGGCCCCCACTAGGCAACTAATATGGAATTGAGTGTTGTTAGACTACTTTTGAAGGGAGATCTCACAATGCCGATTGTTCTATTAACAAAGTTCAAATCTTAGTTAAAAGAGAATCGAGTTACTTCACTCGAATTACAAGTTGTTGGCTATATACCTATACAACCCCATCATTAAGGTCTACTAAAGATATGCTATCCTGCGTTTCATTATTTTAAATAATATTAAATGTATTCTAAATTTTTACTCAATTATTTATTTGTTGCTGACATGATGTTTTGATTGATTAAAAAAAAAAGTAAGTCACTATTTTCATTAATTTTTTCTCTCTAAAAAAATTAGAGCTTGCACTGTGAATTTTACTTTTTGGACGCACTTAATCATTTTTCCATTATTTTTAAGGTTTGTGGGTAGCCATGGAGTCCTTTTATTTTCTTGCTGTGAAAGTGACTTGTACAGTTGTACTGCATCAATCAAACAGTTCCCAAACGGCAAAAGCCAACAGGGAATTGAGCCACAGAAGATGAACAAAATCTCAATTAAGCCTTAATCTTATTTTAATTGGTTTTATTTATGTAAAGCTTATATCTCTCCTTTGTAGTAATATGTTAATTCCCAAAATTTGGAATACTCTCTCATGGATCATGGACAGAGAAGAATAAATTACACTCCTTAATAATTAATAATTAATAAAATTAGAAAGATTTTAATTAGAGTTTGGTGGGACCTTGTAGTTTGCTTTCAGTCTTACATCCTAATTTAAGGCTGGTACATATTTATTTATGTACAAATTTTAGTACTGTGCATTGCTAAAGTATGCTGTTTCCTGTCTACTTTGGAACAAATGTTAAAGAAAAAGTGAAAGATTGTCTGGCAATATCTACATGTCTTCGGTTGGAATAGTGTTTACTGTTTAGCAGGTGGGTGATGGGTTTTCATGTTTTATAACAATCTTGTGTGTCATTATCAATGGGTCTCTTAGTGATCTTGGTGGGGCTCCTAATACTTCAATTTAATTTAATTAAATTGAACATTGCTTTGAATCATTGCCAAAAAAGTAGAATTCTACCATTAAATGTCTATTTAGTAACCTCACTATAATTCTGAAAAATTTCTTAGTGTGCACTGTGATCTAAGAATATTACTCTTGCATATGCCTGCTAGATCTCCTAAGGAGGAACAAAAGGAAAAGAAGTAGAGAGTTGGAAATAAGCATAGATTTTGAGATTCTCGAATAGGGCAACCTTTTGAATTGTTATTGAATTTGTGGGTAGGCAAAAGACAACTTGGCGAACTGGAACATCTTAGTAGCCAGAGGAAAAGAAAGCAAAAGTGATTCACGTAGTAGTGTGGTGAGTGAAATGGGAGCAGTCTAAACTATGGAAAGGGGATTGTGGAATAAGAATACAAGCATTGTTTTGCCAAGCGAAGCAACTTGAATGTTTCATCCTAGATGGTGAAAGTTTTATAGCCATTTTTTTTTATAATGTTTGTAATGTCAACAAAGAACTTTAAAATAAAACAAAGAAAACAAAAAGTTAATGTATTACTCCTCTGATTATAGAGGAAAAACGATGTGAGATTGTTGTGTTTATTACATTTGTTAAGCACACATTTTGTAATGATAGACTTTACAGGGTAGCATTGTTGGCGTGGAAGGGAATTTCATATGAGTTTGGGCAGTGAAATTCATACATTGATATATAGTTTATTGTTTGATATGACATTTTCTTAGCACATTAATATGTAATCATGTAATATATGTGATAAAAATGGCAATATTGGGGCAATTCTAGCCAAGTGGTTACAAGTTTGACTTGGTAGCCTTGTGGTTACGTGGTTACAAGTTTGATTATCAATGGGAGCGGCCTATTGTCTCTTTGATTTAAGCCGATCAGTTATGGGCAACTTAGGTTGTTTTACCTCCTTGTGGTCCTTTGTTAGTTTGAGTTACAAACCTGGATTTACCTCGTTGCATACCATCGTGTAGTGATCGTGAGTTTGTAAATAATTTATTTGAAATTTAAACTTTTAATGAAAATACTTTGATTTACGGGAAAAGAACACAATAAAGTTGCCCACAGTTAATCGACTCAAAGTATCAAACTAAGAAAGTTAATAGACAATTCACATAGAGAGTCTAATTTAGAATTTTATGTTTACATAGTCAACTGTCGAACTAATTTGATTCGGGGTTGCCTTAAATATTCAATCTAAGAGAGGAAATAATCAAACAGAGTAAAGAAAAAAACAAAATTTAAGTGAAACTCAAGTAATAAAAGAGACCGATTTACAAAAAACGGCACAAACTGATAATTTATTGCAGCAAAGTTGCAAGAACATATTCAATTCTTGCATCAATGGTGGTCAAATTTTATATGGCTGGAATGATCTTAAAGTAGACAAGCAAGCATCTCCTTTAAACTTGGTTTTGGGGTGACATTCTCTTTGCACTGCCCCACACTTGTCTCTTTTCTCTTAGGTTTTCGAAGTTTGATGCTTTTAACATTAATTAAAATTATGTTAGAATATGCATTTTCATCGATCGCCAGGAAGCAAAGAGAGTTTATAATCTATATACCTTTCTTTAAAGAGACATTTATATAAACTGGTGTAAATGTTTAGTATTGTACCAACAATTTTCGAAGGAATAAAGCAGATATATTATGATTAGTTAATTATTATTTTATTATTTAAATATGATTATATTCAGTGTAGGCTATAGCTTATTCTTTTCTTGACCTCAACACCAACATATTATATATTGTGGATGTGAAGCAAACAAAATAAATTCTTTTGATTTCACAGTTTTACTAATTAAAGCATTAAAAAAATTAATCATAAATTCGCCTTAGACCTTCATGATCTCTTTTACGGATATGTACACATTGCGAAAACTCTCACAAACTCCATCTTTCTTATACCCACCCGTTTACGTTATAGACGTTCTTGAATTGCAGGCATTGCAGGTGCAGCTGATGCTATGGTGAACTGCATGCCATTCCGTTGCGCTGATTGCACCACGAACGCAAACTGCGTCGCTGCCAGTGCTGCAGCCTCCTGCATCGTCGTTGCAAAACACACAGGCGTTACAAACTATACGTACAAAGGGTAAACCAGTCTAAGTTGTCCATAGCTGACTGGCTCAAACCAAGAAGGTCAGTAGACCGCTCCTGTTGAGAGTCGAACTTGTAACCTTGTGGTTACTGACCAACTTGGTTGGGATTGCCCCACACATGCTTACGGCCTCAAACCTAGAAGGGCCAATAGGCCGCTCTTGCTGAGACTTCAACTTGTATTCTTGTGGTTACCAAATCAGCTGACCAACTTGGCATGCTGATGGGCTCAAACCAAGAAGGCTAATAAACCGCTCTTGCTGAGAGTTAAACTTGTAACTTCGTGGTTAGCAAGTCAATTCACCAACTTGACTGGAATTGCCCCACGTATCTATCTGTTATGTGGGAGGGTGAAGTAGTAGATTGGAGCGAAAAGATGCAGACTATAATGGTGGTTAGAAGAAGTTGGAAACATAATGCTAACCTCTCTTTGTCTTCGCTGCTGCAAAATGCTGATTGCCCAGACCATGATGTAGCATGGCAAAAGAAAGCCCACCACCCTTAGCAAGAAAAGCTGCAGAATGGCAACTGGTTAGGAGTCATGATTTTCCAGTATTTTGCCTTTAATTATTGAGTAGATGAAGGGAATGCTGTCGAATTAAGTTGAACTTACAGAGAACACAGCAGATGGATCTTCCTCTTCGCCACCTTCACTGTCTGTAACGTTCATAGCATGACGCAATAGCAGAAGAGCCATTAGCTGCCATTTGTTTCAACATGTAAAGCATTAGCGGGAATATAAGTATACAATAATGAGCAGTTCTCTAAGAAATCAATCCACCACTCAGGTTGAAGAAAAGGAAAAACGGAGAATGAATTCGCTAGAGCTCACAATCAGTGCAACAGAGCGGCAGAATGCAGCACCACTTGCACTTGTTGCGTGATAATCATCATATTCAGCTTCCAATATTTGGCGCTCAGCCTCCGCAAGTGCCAAAAAGCGAGGGTCATGCAAATCCAGTGGCACACCAGAAATCTGCCATCCTCCCCTGATTCAATGGAAGAAAAAGAATGGCTTTAAAATTACAAAGTGAGAATTTTGGCAATCTTCAGAAAATAAGCTGTAGAACAGCGAAAATTGATCTTACCCAATATCAATAATAGTGTCTTCTGGTGGAGATCGAGGAGGGGCAGTATAACCGGGCTGGTAAGGCTGCATACTCAGAGAGCTATAATTAGCATCACATTATGAAGGCCTCATGGAAGGTAACAGAAGAATCAATGAAAACTAGAACGACCAAATTTTGGACCAAACATCGATTCTAAAGAACTCTACATTATGTGCCTGATGTTAGAATTTTGTTCATCATGTTCCATCCATACCAAAATGTAAACTCGCATTTAATACACCATTTTGAAAAAGTTTATCTTAAACATAGAAACAATCTCCAAAAGTCCTTTGATAGAGAAGCCAGGTAAACCTTTCACCACCCGATTTCAAAAATTAAATCTTTAAACTGATTTCTTAGCCTCATCAAACAGCAAAAATAATCAAGATATTGGCATATACCTGATGGCAGATCTCGCAAATAGTGTCCCCTTTCTCATTGCACCAATGTTGTACACATTTTCTATGAGCATACTGCAGTAGAAATTTTCCCAGTAAGTCATTTCATCCAGCATGAAATCAAAGGAAGAAAAAGGGGAGGGACAATAATAAGCTGTCTAATAGAAAATCATAAATGCAGCAACAAATTGGAGTATTGAGTACTAATCCATTATCCACAGCAATATATATAACCAAATGGTGGATAAGCCATTGAACAATCAGAGACTTCTTGGACTGCATTTATACACAAACATGATCCATTAAAACAGAAGAATGAAAAGTATTAGGAGAGGTTACAGCAAAGCCTTCATACCTTGAGGCTGCCACTGCAAGAACATGGGATTTCCAAATTGTTGATAGTCTCCTCCTCCTGGCAGATGCGACATTCAGCAATTCCAATCAGAGGTGCCCCTTCATCTTCCACCATCTCATCATCTTCCTTCTCCCTTGAGGAAGAAGAGGTGCCCACCATTTCTGCCTCCTGGACTGGCTGGATAGACCTTGATTCATCTGGCTTTACAATCCGGTCAACGTAAAACAACAAATGCTCGCCCATTTCGCGTATGTATGCAATAACAACAATGACCAGACAAATCCCTCAAAACTAGAACGAAAAAACAATACCCAAATCTTTGGTTTTCCTTCAGATTCGTAAATTAATTTAAAAAAAAAAAAGTAAAAGAAAAATAAAATGAAAAAGATTCGATTTTCCCCCAATATATATGTGTATATATATATATCTTGAACCAAGAAAGACAAGACAACAGCTTCCTTCCTTCCTTCAATCCAGAAAGAAAAGAGAAAAAAAGAAGAAAGAAGAGAATTAATGGGTATATATTGGGTTAGCAAAAATGCTATGAAAATCCACCGATCAGGCCGGTGCAGCGTGATCAGGGAAATTCAGAAACTGGAATTGGGAGTTCAATCCAAGTTAAACTGGAATCTGGACAGAAAAACCGAGAAACGAAAATGTACCTGAAAAACAGGGGATTGGGAAGCTTTAATGGAATGAAATCGCGAGTTTGATGCAATGCCAAGGAAAATAAGTTAATCCTTACTGAGTAATATAATTAACCATCATAATTCACGCTTCCGCTCTCCATTTTTGCCATTCTCATTCTCCGTCTTCCTCGTTGATTTTGCTTCAAGCATTCAAGCTCATTGGTGATCGCTGTGAAACGTGGAGGATATGCGTTTACATTAACAACATTTATTAGGCTGCAATCAATTATGTTAATTAAACATATACTTCTATTAATATATATTTTTTCTAGTTGCACCATAATATATTGCTCCTTTTGGTACTAGATAGCTGTTTCATATTTTTATCTAATTACATTAACATGCCGTTTGGTTGGAGGGAGGAAATTATGTAGGAAAGGAATTGTAATTTCACGGGAGTTGAATTATGGGAATAAAGTGGGAATTTAAATTCCAGTGTTTGGTTGACAGGAATAAAATTACTGGAAATTTCAATTTCAATGTTTGGTATACATGGTAATTGAAAGGGAATAAGTAGTATAACGTCAAAAATGTTTATTATTGTTGTTAGACATTAATTTTAGGTTAAAAAATGAAGGGGTAATTTTGACTCATCACTATCTTTTTTTCACAGGAATTAAAATCCCGGGGGGGACATGGGATTTTAATTCCATGAAAATGGGGGAATTGCAATTCCCTCCAACCAAACTACGGAATTTAATGGCCTTTGCAATTATGTGGGAATTAAGTGGGAAGGGAATTTAAAATCCCTCCAACCAAACGCCCTGTAATTGTTTGTGTGTATATATATTTGATAATTTTTTTTTGAATCACCTACTATTTGAAGATGTGCTATAGTAAATCTTCTTCATGTATAATATTCATAAGACGTAAATTAAACAAAAAAAGATAAATTATATTAGGTAAATTAATGTTTCTTCGTCTCTGGCCGGGTTTCTTTGTCCTCGGCCGGAGACGAAGTCTTGTTATTTTTTTAAAAAATAATTATTTTAAAAAATTATTATAAATTTGAGTTAACTTGTTAAAAATTTTCATATTAAAAAAATTACATAAAATTGGTTACTTAGTAGCTTTAATGAGTGCCCTCTTTATTCTATAGGCAGTAGTGTCAGTTAGTAATTGTTATTTGATAACGGTGGGGAAAGATATTGGGTTTATATTTCTGGTATTTACTTAGTATAAACTTGTAAAAGTTTTAATTTTCCATGCATATGATTTTTGTTGATTTCATTATTATTTCTAGGTAACGTTTCATTTTTAGGTCATTCCTCATTACAAGGTACAATTCTTATTCAAACTTTTATGTTTTCGTTTTGAAATACACATAAGAGTATGTTTTTTGTTGGGGATCATTTACTTTATGTTGTAATAATGCAACAGATGTAGAAGCAAACCACCCAGCATACTTTCAGCTCTCTCATTCTGTTGACGGGAATCTTCTATCAACTGTTAGCGAGGTAATATTCCCCCTTAATTTAGATTTAACTGTCGGAACATGTTCCTAAAAATGTTCTTTCATTATAGGTTTCTAATAGTAAAAGCACAGTTGATACTAGTCTACAAAGGACCACAAAGGGAAATCGGTATAAGTTTTTCATAGACTATTGATTTAAACCAAGAAGGTCAATAGGTTGTTCTCATTGGGAGTTAAGCTTGTAATCTTGTGGCTATTAAGTTAATAATCTGACCGACTTGGTTTGTGACTTTAGCTGGTAAAAGACCAAAATGAAAGTAAACCAACCTAGGTTACATAAAAGATCAATAGATTGTTCTTACTTAAGAGTCAGACTTGTAACCTTATGGTTACTAATTTATTAATTTGACTAATTCAACTTGGTTGGTTGTCCAAGATGACCCATTTCTACCTTAGGGTCTGTTTGGAAACACGGAAAATGACTTCTGGAAATCATTTTTCGGGTTTTTGGTGTTTGGGAAGGCTGAAAATGAAATAGTCAAAGAAAAATGCTAGCTAGTCAATGGAAAATGAGGACTAAAATCCTGAAAATGACTTCCCCTTTTTTTTTGACGGAAGTCATTTTCCATCTTTCAATCAACACACGCAGACACGCTCAAGCCTTCGTCTCCATTCACTGCTTCTTCTCCCACTTCACCTCCTCCTTCAACATTCAACAGAGAACTACCAACACATCTCCTCCAACAATCCACAACCACAAAAGCTTCACCAACATTAGAAAAGTTACATATCATTTTTTTTCCAAATATTATGGCTGGAGAAACCAGTCACTGGTTTCCGATCGGAAACCAGTGCCACTGGTTTCCGATCGGAAATCAGTGAACACTGGTTTCCGATTGGGAACCAGTGACTGCACTGGTTTCCGATTGGAAACCAGTGAATGGTTTTCCGCATCGGAAACCAGTTCCAGTTGCAATTTTTTTTTATTTTTTTATTTTTTTTTATGTATGTTTTGTAGTTGGTTGATTATGTTGGATCTTAGTACTTGTTATATTGGATCTTAACACTTTGTGGACTTTGTAATAAAAATTGTTATATTCTACAAAGAAAAATAAAAATATATTATTCGATATATAATAATTAAAATGTTTAAGTATGTCATTCTGTTCATTTTCTGGAAAATGAACCAAACACCAAATGACAGTTTTTCATCATTTTCTGGAAAATGAACCAAACACCAAAAGACAATTTTCCATTCTGCAGCCAAACACAGGAAATGAAAATGACTTTTGGAAAATGAGTCATTTTCCGAGTTTCCAAACAGACCATTATATTAATCTGCTATTCTCCAACCGTGTGCAGTGGAGCCTTTTAACAGACATGGAAAGAAACATAAATCTGGAAATACAAGAACTATGTTTCAACAAAAAAAGTCTAATCCTTTGATGAATGATTCTTCAACAAAACTCATTCTTTGCAACTAAACTAAAGGACATTATACAAAACCACAAAGCATGGCAATATAGCCCTGGAGTCCAAAACCATAAGCTTTTCAGAGGCATCCATGTTCTCCACAGAGTCAAACTCCCTGTCTTCTTCCCCTTTCACTATACTTCCATTATATTACAGCAAATAGCTACATGATAAGACTTCGTGGCCCAATGGATAAGGTGTTGGTCTATATATGGAACTAGAAATTTTAGGTTCGATCCCCAGTGGAGTCGTCAGGTTTCTCATGAATTAGCTGCACCCTAACCATCACCCCCTTTGACCTTTGACTTCACAACCTAGGGCCTAGGCTTCACCCCACACTCCCTTTGAGAGTGAGGAGTTATGGATTATTTGGTATTCTCAAGCATCATATAATATGACATATAAATATGTAATCTCAGTATAATTTTGTGTTTTAATTAATACGAAACACATTCTTCAATTGATATTTGTCATTTATTTAAGATCATATTTAGAGATTACTAAATTTAATACATTGATAACCATGCAATAGTGTAGTTAGAAATAACACATTAAGATTCTATTATCTCTAATCCACAAAAAGGCAAAATCCATTGTCCCAAGAGCCCAACACCCTGACCCTTCAATCGTTATGCTATGGAACCGTGTTCACCATCCATGGTGAACACGGTCCCAACAGTGTTAATGCACCGTTCTCTTTTTTTTTTTTTTCCTTAATTAATCGCGTGACTTTTCTTATTCATTTTCACATTTCGCGGTTTCACTTTAATTTGAGGTGAGCAATGATTTCAAACATTCATAAATTATGAATCCATGCCTACACATTCACTTTGGAATCATGCCTACACATTCCCGTCCGAAACCATGGCTGCTCCTCTGTAGCGCAAGCTTCTTCAACATTCATAAATTATGAATTTTCTGTTATGAGATTATGAATTTACATTATCTCTAATCCACAAAAAGGCAAAATCCATTGTCCCAAGAGCCCAACACCCTGACCCTTCAATCGTTATGCTATGGAACCGTGTTCACCATCCATGGTGAACACGGTCCCAACGGTGTTAATGCACCGTTATCTTTTTTTTTTTTTCCTTAATTAATCGCGTGACTTTTCTTATTCATTTTCACATTTCGCGGTTTCACTTTAATTTGAGGTGAGCATGATTTCGGACATTCATAAATTATGAATCCATGCCTGCACATTCACTTTGGAATCATGCCTACACATTCCCGTCCGAAACCATGGCTGCTCCTCTGTAGCGCAAGCTTCTTCAACATTCATAAATTATGAATTTTCTGTTATGAGATTATGAATTTACATTATCTCTAATCCACAAAAAGGCAAAATCCATTGTCCCAAGAGCCCAACACCCTGACCCTTCAATCGTTATGCTATGGAACCGTGTTCACCATCCATGGTGAACACGGTCCCAACGGTGTTAATGCACCGTTATCTTTTTTTTTTTTTTTTCCTTAATTAATCGCGTGACTTTTCTTATTCATTTTCACATTTCGCGGTTTCACTTTAATTTGAGGTGAGCATGATTTCGGACATTCATAAATTATGAATCCATGCCTGCACATTCACTTTGGAATCATGCCTACACATTCCCGTCCGAAACCATGGCTGCTCCTCTGTAGCGCAAGCTTCTTCAACATTCATAAATTATGAATTTTCTGTTATGAGATTATGAATTTACAGTACATTCATAATCTCATAATAGAAAATTCATAATCTGACCAAACGCGCGCCGATAACACCACATTGGCAATTTTTTTTTTTTAACGTAAAAACGACACCGTTTGGATCTGTGTTCACCATTCATGGTGAACACGTTTCCAGGGCATAATTTGCCCTGACCCTTGAGTGAACAAAATTAGAAGTCCTAAATTATGTCTATATTTTAAATTTACATTGAAAAGATTATAAATTGTGCTAAAAATGTTGGATCATGGCCCGAAAATAATGATAAAATTGGTGGTTTTTTATACCTAAAGGTCACATGTTTGATTTTTGTCGTGTGATTTTTTATTATTATTATTATAAAGAAGGGGGATACCCTACATATACACACACCCGATACCAGTGGACTACAAGTTGTTGTGTGATTTATTGTACAGGGTCTTTCTAGTCTAGTGCAATAAATGTGATGTTGAATTCTTTTAAACAAAAATGTTGGTTAGTGTCCTAATAATAACTTCAATCACATTTCTATTTGTAACATATATTTTTTTTTGAAGGAAAAAAGATTTTATTCAAACTTAAGATATGAATTGTTCAATACATGAAGGAACAGTAGAAAACCAAGACATATGACCAGAATGAGAACTAGCAGCTCGAGCCAAAGCATGAGCGCATTTGTTCGCTGATCGAGAGATAAACTCAATAGACACTGTTTCAAAGTGTCGTTTCAGAACCCGACATTGATTAAGAATATTGCCTGTGTAGGAGTTATCCGGGAGATTTTGATTCAGAAACCTGCACATCATCTGACAGTCTGAGCGTATAATTACCTTGTTCCAACCTTAAGAGATGGTCCAAGATAGAGCTTCCTTGATAGCCATGGCTTCAGCAAGGTGTGGATCCTTTAGACAACGAATGGGGCCACTCTTTGCCGCGACAAAACCACCATCATCCGACGAAACCACAACACCATAGTATCCAAAATCATCATTTTGCTGGACAGCCGCATCAACCTCCACCAGCCAAGTCGAAAGGGGAATAGCAAAGCTGGTGTTTGACGTTGCATGGTGACTAATACTGGGTCCGGAGCTTATAGCAGTGGGTTGCCATTCCAGTATACTGCTTTCTACCCATTTCTTTAACATTTCCATAGTCCATTGCTTTCTATTCCACACCCAATCGTTTCTCATATTTGTAACATATATTAATACGGAGTGATGGAGAAAATTGATCCAGGGTATTTATTTATATGGATCAGTAACCTCCACAGAGAAGTGATTGCAGGGAATCAATAAATAAACACAAAGAATTTAACGTGGAAACCAAAGCGGTGAAAACCACGGGCCTTTTTCGACTAAGCCAAGCCGGAATTCTTTTATTATATTTGAAGGTGTAGTACATGTACACAGGTAGGCCATGGCCATGAAATATATGGAAGAAGAAAGGAAAGTATATGTAGAAGAGAGGTCCCCTGTTTGAGACTGACGTGCATCTTTATATAATTTTATTTGTGCAGTTGTAACTTCCCGTATCATTTCCTATTTTCTTGTCATTACTCCTTCCTCCTTTGACTAATATTATTATTATTCCATCACGGAGTACAAAATAATTAATAGTAATCCATAAATAATATTCTTTCCATCCTATTAACAATACACAACAATTAATATAGCTATTCATAAATATATCATGTTCTAAAAGGACAAATATTATGTTTATAAATTACAATGTGATATTCTCTAACAAAAATCACCCCCTATCCGGGCTTCCTGTGTTTGGCAAAGGAAAATTATAGTTAATGAAAAAATAATTGAGTCAAAAGAGAAAATAACATTCTTTTTCTGGAAAATGACTTTCCCTTCCTAGTCTGCATTTTTCTTCTCACAAACCTTCTTTTCCCTAACCCTACTAGTCAGATGCCATCGCACCCTAAGCCCGGCCAGTTCGTCGCCATTTGTCACGCCCAGCGCCACCATCACTCGCC